TCAGGACCTGGTGGCCGGGAGGGTGAGAGAGGAGCAGCGGAGGCTGAGGGGCTTCAGTGTGGCCTGTTGGCAGGCAGGGCTGGAAGCCCTCCAAGCCGGGGCTGCTTTACCACAGGCGGATGGGTGGGCTTCTCCTCGTTGCACTTCTGCTAAATCTTTTTTTTCTGTGTGAGGAAGATCAGCCCTGAGCTAACATCTGCCAATCCTCCTCTTTTTGCTGAGGAAGACTGGCCCTGGGCTAACATCCGTGCCCATCTACCTCCACTTTATATGGGACGCCGCCACAGCATGGCTTGACAAGCGGTGCGTCGCTGTGCGACCGCGATCCGAACCGTGAACCCCGGGCCGCTGCAGCGGAGCGCGTGCCCTTAACCACTTGCGGCACCGGGCTGGCCCCACTTCTGCCAAATCTTTTCTGCCCTCTGCGAACCCTGCTCTCTGGAGGCTCCTGCCGCCAAACTCTGTACCCACTCCCTGCTCTGCTGCAGACACCTACTAATGCTGGGTCACTGCCTCCCAACCCATCTTCCCTGGTGACCCCTGCGTCCGTCTTCCAGGATGGTCCATCCCGGTCTGGCCTACCTGTTCTTTGGCCTCCTCCTTCTGATGACCCCACCCTGGCCTGCCCCTGCCATGGCTGCCCCCAAACCTTGTTTTCACCAACACCTGCCCCCTCCTCGTGCCCCAGGGTCCCTCTGTCTGACTGCCACCCCAGCCTCTCTCAGCCTGCGTGCCCTCCACCGATCACCTTGTCGCCATCCGGCCTCTCAAGCCCGTGCCCAGCTTCACTCCCTCCATTCTTGCCTTCCCTTACCCCCCTCTGACTCGCCTGGCAGAACACAGCCTGGCCCTGTACTCAGCTGCCCCTGCCCTCATCCATCCACTCATTCATTCGTTCCACTATATACTTTCTTCACACCCCCAGCCTAGCATGTCCCCCCACATCTGCTCCCCATCTGTGTCCCCATCATCCACTTGGACATTCAAGCCAAAACTCCTGAAGGGGGCGTCATGCCGGCCTCCTCCCCCCACCCACTCCCCCCTCACCCACTCAGCCATCAGTCCTGCTCACTCTTGCTTCCCAAACCCGGCTGGATGTCCCAGGGGTAGCTTTCAGGGTCTGCCCAACAGGCCCAGGAGCCTGCCAAGACTTGAGAGCCAATAGTGGTGACACCAGGAGGGAGCACCAGGGATGGGACCCATCCTGCCACTCCAGACGTGCCCTGCCAGCCCTCCGGGGTGGGGCTTCCCACTTGGCAACACTTACTCTCACCCAAACTTTATGGATCACTGGTGCCGGCTTCCTCGCAGTGGGAGGAGTGGACGTGCAAACTGATCGTTACAGCCTGAGTGACGTCAGCTGGCCAGGGAGAGTGTGACCGAGGTGGGGTGGGGGCCCCAGGGGAGGGCTTCCCCAGGCAGTGCCATAGCAGAGGGCCTCCGCTCTCAGCAGCCACTGCCCTTTCTCTGGTGTACCTTGGTCTCCGTGGACACTGCCTCCCCCCGGGAGGGTGGGTAGGTGCCGTGAGGTCAGGGTGGTAAGGCCACCACAGCAAGAAAGCTGGGACCAAGGAGCACACAGGGTGGGTGCCGGGCCTGTCCCAGCTTCCTGCCCCTCTGTGCTTGAACTGCCATTCCAGGGGCCTGTCACCTGCAGCCACAGAATGTGGCCATGATGCATTTGACTGCAAGGGACAGAAAAACCAAGGAACAGTACGTGGAACAAGGGGGAAGTGACCTGCCTTCCACAGGCCAGGCTGGCTCAGTGGCCCACCCAAGCCACATGGCCGGCTCTGTCTCCGCCACACCTGCAGACATCCTGTCTCCATCAGGAAGAGGGGCGCAGGGTCAGAGGTCAAGGGATGTGCCACAGGTGCCTTTGTCCCTTTTACACAGCTGCCTCAGGAGCCCCGGCCACTGCCTTCATCTCACTGACCAGATCTGGGACACGTGGCCACCTCTGGCTGCAAGGGGGCCTGGAGAGGTATTTTTACCTGGACACGCTGAAGCCCAGAACACATGGGGATGCCATCAGAAGAGGGCAGGACGGCTGTTGGGTAGGCACCCAGGAGGGTCTGCCAATGTCCCCAAGGCACTGCTGTGTGATTCCCGGTGGCCCTCTCCAACCTCCTGGCCCCTGCCGTGAGCTGCACTGTGCTTCCTTCTGCCCCGCCCCTGCCCCCAGGGCCTCGGCTCCATCTGGTCCCTCAGCTTCAGCCTCACTGTCTCCTCTGTGGCCGGGCAGCTGCTGCTCTGCCTCTGAGACTGTTCAGATACCTCCTCCCAGTTCCTCTCCCAAACCCGCTAGAGAAATAAAAGACGTTCAGCCAATGAAATGCTGTGCAACTGTTAACCAAAACGTGGCCAATTCGAACAGACTGATAAGGAAAGATCTCTGTTGTGGGTTGCATTGTGTCCCCCAGAAAGATGTGTTGAAGTCCTCCCCCCAGGTGCCTGTGAATGTGACCTTGTTTGGGATCAGGGGCTTTGCAGATGTTATTGGTTAAGATGGGGTCATACTGGAGTAGGGTGGGCCCTTAAGCCAATGACTGGTGTCCTTACAAAAAGGGGAGACGTAGAGTCGCACAGGGGAGCAGGCCACGCGGAGATGGAGGCAGAGATTGGCAATAGGCCTACGAGCCAAGGATTGCCCGCCACCACTGGACGCTGGGAGAGGCAAGGAGATTCTCCCTCAGAGCATCCAGAAGGAACCAATGCTGCCTACGCCTGAATTCCAGACTTCCGGCCTCCGGAATGGCGAGAGAATAAATGTCTGCGTTAGCCACATAGTGTGTGGTATTTAGTTATGGCAGCCCTGGGGAACTCCTGCAATCTCCAAAATAATTGTCAAGTGAAAAAAGCAGAACAGAAGAGTCAGTACCTAGCGTGCTTTTCGGGGAGCATGGGTCTTCCACGTGCTGGGACTCGCCCAGGATGCCAGGATGTCCTCCAGGAACGGGAGGCGGGCCTTGGCTCCGGGGAGGGGCACGCCAGCTGGGGACAGGGTGGGGACAAGGTTTTCCTCTTCACTGCACAGCCTGGATTCCGTCTGCATTTTTACTTTTGCCCATGTTAATATATTACTTACTCCAAGTAAATATATATTCAAATCAGGGAGAAAATAAAATGTCAAAAAATTCATAAAGACCCCAGACCTCTCCCACCCCTCCTCCCGCCCGGATTAGTGTTGTAACTTCCAGCGCTTGGGGCCGGGGTTGGGGGGGACCCTGGTTTTGAGCATTTGCCTGGTTTCAGAGGAAAGAGGAGGGAGGGGCCAGGGGACCTCATGGGGGAACGAGCTGCTGCCAGGGACCCCAGGGAGGGGACGGCTGGGTTAGCAGAGCCTGTGATGTGCCTGAGGACACCCCACCCTGGGGCCACCAGCCAGCCCTTTCCTGGCCTCTTGTCCCTGGAGACAGCAGACAAGCCCAATGTCACAGGCTGGTGCTGGGGATTAAGTGGAGTGTGAAGGCACAGAAGAGCTGGCACTTACCTGGAGGGAAAGTGAGGGGCCTCTCTCCTGCCCTCCCCTGCAGGTGGGCGGAGCTTGTTGGCTCAGCAGTTGGGAAGGAAAGAGCCTCCATGCTGGAGACTTGGGTGCCCAGGATTGACTCCAGGAGGCTGAGCAGAAGTGGGGGTGGGCGGAGAGTAACACACCCCTTTGACAAACGAGGCCTCCTCCAGGGAGCCCTCAGGAATCTCTTAGGCTGGAGTAGGTCTAGTCTCAGATGGCCAGATCCATTCACCCTTCAGAGCTCCACTTAGACCTCCCCGCCTCTGGGAGGCCATTTCTGGCCGCAGCTGGTGTCCCTCTCTGTGCCCTCAGCACACCTCGGGACTGCCAGGGAGCTCACACCAGGCTGGTTGACCACAGACATCTGAGGCATGTTTGCTGAGCGGCTCAGGCTTCGTCCAGCATGTTTGTGAGCTTTACTCACATAATCCTCATGCCTTATTAGCCCCATTTTGCAGATGAGGAAACTGAGGGTCTAGATGTTCCCTGGAGCTTGCTCCAGGTCACGCAGCTAGGTCTGCAGGTCTGCCACCAGGGCCCCAGGGCACACAGACCACCAAGCCAGCCCCTCTGACTCCAGGGAGGGGGTGGGGAATGAAGCCCCTTCCTCTATGATGCACAAATAAGCACCCTCTTAAAAAAACAGAATTCTTTATTCCCTCGGTGGTTTCTGAACAACAATGACACCACTACACAGGGTGGGTGTCTTGTCTTCCTCGAGCACAGTCTGCCTCCTGGGAGAGCCGGTTACATTGCCCAAGAGGCTGAGCCCCACTCAGGGAAAAGGAGGCCACAGTCACCTCCAACCCGCGCAAGATCATTCACTTCCCGGTCCAACCACTTGGCCGCACCATCCCGGATGTGCCCGGGCTGCCCCAAGCTCACACCACAGGCCCGGCTTCTAATGACAGCCCTGGAGCCTTGGACTCAGATCCCCCTCGGCCTGGAGGGCCCAAACTGGCCACACCTGTGCCTGCTAACAGGCCCTTCGTGACCTCACAGAACACGGGGCACTGAGATGGCCTGGGAAAGACACCATTTGCTAGGGAGTGGGTTCCCATACGGATCTCTCTGCTGACCCCTCTGCACACCTGGGGAACCCTGCTGGTGGGCATGGCCCAGAGCCGCAGAGATCAGCTGACACATGTCCTCATCTTACAGATAGGCAGCCTGAGGCCCAGAGGGTGCCGACTTGCCCTTGCCACTGCTCTGCTCCCACTGGCCCGTGCTGCCCCCCCAGGCTAATATGGAGCCTCCAGCAGGTCCCATGGCTTCTTAGTGGGTCCTGGGTCACCCTCCAGGGGGAGTGGCAGTAGCAGGGGCATCCGCAGCAGCACCATACGGAATCGGTGGGGCGCTTCAGCACAGGATTCAGTCCTACGACCAGGAGGCGTCTCAAGCTGCCTCTCTGTCCCTAACACAGACCACAGACCCGACAGGTGGCCAAGTGTCCCTGGGGATCCACCAGGCGGAGGACTTGCAGTGAGTCAGCGGGTAGCCCATCGGTAGGTCATCAGAGACCCGGTGGTGGTGGTGGCTGGGATCCCCGGGGAGGGCTGGGGTCTCGGCTGGGTTTCTGGAAGACTCCAAGGAACAGCAGCAGGTTCAGTGCTGGGCGCTGCTCGATACCATCTCTGAGCGTCGTGACTACAGTGTGGGTATGAGGATCCCCATTTCACAGCTGAGAACACTGAGGTCAAGTTTGTGGTCAGGTCACCCAGGGGACGAGAGAAATTCAACCCAGGTCTGATGGAGCCCACAGCCCACGGCGTCTGGGCGTCTGGGCAGGGCGAGCGGCTGGGGGCCGATGTATGTCCGTGTTGCGTTTCTGAAAAGCGGCCCCGGGGGAGGTCGGGCCCATGGGGCCGGCGGCGGGCGTCACAGGCTGGAGGGCTGGGCCAGGGCCGGCCCCGCGGGGGCCGCAGGGGCGGCGGGCACAGCCTCGCCCTCGGGCTGGGCCTCCTCGCCGCGCGCATAGGTGAGCACCACGGTGACGGTGGCGAAGGTGGCGGCGTTGACGGGGAAGGCGCGCAGCAGCGTGGAGGCCAGGCCACGCGTGAAGACGCGCCAGCCCTCGGCGCGGTAGCTCTGGCGCACGCAGTCGAGCATGCCCCGGTAGCGCGGGGCGCCCCGCAGCCCGTCGGCCTGCAGCCGCGACTTGACCACGTCCACGGGGTAGGTGGAGAGCCAGGACAGGATGCCCGACGTGCCGCCGGCCAGCAGCAGCTTGGGCACCAGCAGGCGGTCGCCCGGCTCGCAGCCCAGCGCCCGCGTGAGCACGTCGTAGGCGAGGAAGTAGACCCCGAAGCTGGGCGTCTCGCGCAGCAGCGTGGACGCCATGCCCCGGTTGACGCCGCGCAGGCCCTCCCGCCGGTAGATCTGCGCCAGGCAGTCCAGCGAGCCCCGGTAGGTGCGCGCCGGGCCCGCGGCCTGCAGCTGCAGCCGCGTCTTGGCCAGCTCCATCGGGCAGCAGATCACGCACTGGATGGCGCCCGCCGCCGCGCCGGCCAGGAACTGGTTCAGCGGCGAGTCGCGGCCCAGCGCCCGGAGGGTGTTGCCCTGCACGCCGAACACCAGCGCGTTGATGAAGGTGAGCCCCATGAGGGGCGAGCCCAGGCCCTTGTACAGGCCCAGCACCTGCGGGGCAGAGATGCATCAGCTGCGCTCCCACTCGGGGGCTGGGGCGGCCCAGCCCACCTCCCGAGGGCCCTCCATGCAGGTGGCGGCAGCCCCAACCCCAGCCCACCCCAGGTGCTCATGAGGATTGGAACCAAAGTCCTCAATCTAAGAGGCCTGGGTATTCACACCTCCCCAGTTCCAAAGTCCTGATTTGCCCAGCAGTCCCCTGACACCTTCTCTCCCGGCTCTGTGGTCTGGGGCCCGCAGCGTCCTAGAGGCTGGTTCCCCGCCCACCCCCACCTGCCCCAGGCCCAGGCCACTCACACTCTCCTGTCTGATGATGGACTGGAAGCAGTGCAAGGTCCCTCGGTACTGGGGCTTCTCCATGCTCTGGACCTGAAGCCGCACCTGGAAGGAGAGGGCCCAGTGGAAAGTGGGCAAGCCGGGGCCAGAGCACCCAGCTCCCTTGGCCCAGCACTCTGGACGGCTGGGGGAGGCTCTCTCCAGGAGGCCTGAGGCCGGACCCATGAGGCAGGGAGCCAAGTAGCTTTCTGTGGCTTTGGAATTCCAGGGTGGGGTGGGGCTGGGTGTCCGAGCCTTATCAGGGAGGGGTATCAGTGGGCAAACAGCCACAGAGAGCGCCAGCTGCAGAGGAGGCAGAGTCTCCGAATCTTTGACAATGGACGCTATGCCTCTTGTCTCACCATCTCTGCACAGCATACTGACGAGGGCACAAAGCATCTCTCCACTGTCTGGGTGGCAAACCATGGCCAATGCCAGAGGGGCCCCAATCTAGTGTCCCATCACACAACTCCCTGCATCAGGGGCTGGCAGCAGGGAATCCTGCTTGGTTTCTGCCAGGAGACCCTCGTGAGGACAGTGGTCATGAGTTAGTAAAGTGGAGACAGGAGAGCAGCTGACGGGCTTCTTGGGAACGTCAGCAACTGCAGGGCCTGGGGGGTCAGGCCCAGCCACCCTTGGAGCCCAGCTGTCCAGAACCTCTTGTTGTGAAAGCGTTCTTTGTTGACCGAGAGCTTATCTGCGCTTGATACGCAGGGCCCACAGTGTGGGATGGGAGGCACATTTCCTGAACTCAAAATCCGTATCACGGGGCTGGGGGTTGAGCTAAGTTAAGTCACACTCTCAGGAGCTGGTCCCCAGCTCTGACTCAGAATTCATTATTATAGCCGGGGCCATGGCGTGGGCATCCCTCTGTGCTGGGCAGCACCAGAGGGGCTTTGCACACAGTAATCACTGGCTGAGAGGCGTTCGGTCACTCCCATTTCAAAGACTGAGGCTCAGAGATGTTTTGCAACTCACTCGGCCAAAGCTGTCCTCTCTGGGGACATGAGCAGCTGTGGTGGTCGGGGCCAGGGTGGGGTGGGGGTGCTGGCTGGTGAGACTAGGTGGACCTTCTATTGGTGAATGATACACAGAAAACGTCTTGTAAAGAAGAGTCCCGTCTCTGCACACGAGGACCTTAACTGCAGACCGCTGCTCTGAGCAGCAGCTGCAGTGGTTCACCCCAGCACCCCTTCCCACCCTGGCTGCTCAGCTCTGCCAGGACCTGGCAGGGGAGGGGCGAATTTTCAGAGACAAGCAACACAGCTCATTGAACTTGAATACATATTACCACCATGAGCTCTGGCTCAGGTTGTTTTTGTGATTCAAGGTTTTTCCTTTTCCCTTCAATGTTCTGTGGTCTCTGTTGGGACATTTTTCTTCTTCCTACGGCCCCCGACACTGGCACTAAGAAGGCTGTGTCAACAGAAAGCATGTGAGTGGAGCTGTCCCCTCCTTGGGTGGGATTTTCGGACCCCCAGGCAGCATCTTTAAGTCTTTGCAGGTTGGACACTGTTTCTGGCCCACAAGGGACCACAGACGCTCCTCTCCCCTTTGTTCCTGACCCCTGGGTCTGGGATGAGCCCCTGCGATCTGGACCAGGTTTAGGGGTGAAATGTGGCCCAGTGGCCCCAATATTCTAATGTCTAACGTGGAGGTTCTTAACATTTTGGGGTGACAGGATCTTGTTTGAGGATTGAGGGACCTGACCCAGGAAAAGTGGTCATTCACACACCAGCCCAGGAGGCTCCCAGCTGCCCACAGGGCTGGGAGACCCCAACATGAAGACCCCCTGATCCAGAGGAGACTGATTTTTCTCGACCAGCCCCATCCGGGCCCCCACCCAGAAACTGAGCTGGGCCCAAGCTCACTTCCCACCCTCCCTGTCCCTTGCTAGTCCCGGAGGGAATTCGGGGTGGAGTGGGGTCCCGGCCCGGGGCTGGTTCAGGACAGAGAAGAGAAGCGTCGGGTTCACCTGGTCTGTACTTACTAGCGCTCTCCAGGGTGAGGCTTACGCTCATCTACAACAAAGTTACACTTTGCTATGGATGGAGACAGCCCCTAGCTCAGAAAGTAAAGGCGGTTAAAACAACACAACATTTCAACATCGCATCGGGGTGCGGAGCCCCCGCCGCCAGCCCTGGCCTCCCGCCCCTCCCCCGCCCCGGGCGCCAGGCTCGGGGTCCCTGATCCCTGTCCTGTCCGTGAAGCAGGACAGAAGGCCGCCTTCGTACAGAAACACGTGTGCAGGCAGTGCCTGAGGACAGTGGCTTTGGTTTTGGGCACAACAGAGGAAAACCAAATTTTGGACTCAAATTTTGGTCCCGAGGGCCTGGAGGAATAACCTGCGAACATCCTGGCCATGAGGCAGTGTGGACTGACATGGAACATTCCGGAGCACGGGTCCCATTAGATGAGGTTCAGGAAAAGGCAAAATGGAGCACGTTGTCAGAAGTTAGGATGGTGGGCGGCTGGAGGAGGGGAGGGGAGTTGTGAGGAGGGAGCGGGGGCTTCGGGGGGCTGGCCTTGTTCCGCTCCTCCCAGACGTGTGCTTCACGATCATTCACCGACTTTACACTTAGCATGTGTGCACTTTTCCACGTGTGTTAAATTTCAGTTAAAACAACAACAATCACCAAGCGAGGAAGTAAATCCCACTTTTGCCAAAAGCAAGGAATCTATTTGGGTCTGTGTGCATTTCGGTTTTTCAGTAGAAATCATGAACAAGGGTTGGGGGAAAGGATACATAAAGGACTGTTTTTTCTTTTTAGTTTATATGTCTCTATTATGGTTAAAATTTTTTTACAACCTACATTAACTTTGTAGTAGGAAGCCAACCAAAAAAATGTGTATGGACCTGATGATTAAAACACATTTAAAAAATATCGCATGCCCATGGGGGGCACTGTGGTGGAGGGGGGATTCTGAAGGCAATGCACCAAATGTGAAAACGGATGTGTCTGGTGGAAGGAAATAATTTGCGTTTCTCCATTTCCCAATTTTCTTTTAATGAGAATGTTTAACTTTTATAATGGGAAACAGCCAGTAAAAAAATGAGGCCATTGGTGATACGGCATTAAATTAAACCAAATGAGTGTGCTCCACGCTCGGCACAGTGTAATCGTGTGCAAGCCCATGGCTGTGACAAGAGGGCTCACAGGGTTGAGTGACAGTGGTGATTAGAGGGGCAGGTTTTCTCCCCTTCATAATCAAAAACTCAGCTGTTTAAGAGAGGTTTGCCCAGGTGTGATGCTGGTGGACCACAGTGGCAAAAAAAAAAATGGTCACAAGTGGATTTCCTCAAAGACCACCCTCCAGGTGCCAGGTAAGGGGGTCCCAGGGGCAGGAACCCAGTGGGGTGGAGAGGCTCCTGCACGCAAATTACTGTGGGGGCTGCTGGTCACGGCTCAGGAGCTGAGAGAGGTGGAGGCACCAGGACAAAGTGCTCCCCAGCCTGGTGGGGACTGACTGAGGGACCAGGCGGGACTGCAGAAGGCCTGGCCAGGCCCCAGCCGAGTCACAGCCTGGAGAGGCCTCCGCAAAGCTGGGCTGAGGAGGTGAATCAGAGGTACTTCTGGGCTGGACGGCTTCAAGAGGCATTTAAAACACATGACCACAAGATACAAACATAGCGTAACGTGGACACTGCCAGGCTGTCCTGGGCTGCTCCGGACTTGGGCAGGCTTCACGGGGCGGCCAGCTGGGCAGGGCCGGGCAGTCGTGTGGACAGGCTCCCCCAGGGCCTCACTCTTGGCAGGCCCATGTCGGGAACTCAGGCTGCCGTGTGGCCCTTCCACCTCCTCCACAAACTGGCCTACAATGGGATGGAAGGAGAACTGTGCTCTTCAGAACCAGCGTTTCACCAACACGAACTCTCCTGTGGAGGCCAGGCACCACGAGGGCCTCAGTCACCTTGCCCAACCCCTCATTTTGCAGCTGCGAACATCTGGGCCCAGAGGTAAAGTGACTGGCCCACGGTCACTCAGTAGGTCGCCGGGAGGGGCCCTGGACCCGCACCAGGCCCAGGGACAGAGCTTTTTAAGGTCAGAGCCAATGCGTAAGGCCAGGCCCTCATGCCTGTGCTGGAGGAAATCCCAGCCCTAAGTCCATGAGTCCTTTTCTTGGTCAGGGAACACCTGAGTTCCTGAAAAAAGAGGAGACGGGAAGGAAGTCACCTCGAACCCAGCTAGGATGGTGACCTTGCCTTCACTGTGCCCTTGCCCCAATGGGAAGAGGTGCCAAGTTCAGCATTTACAGCAGGACACAAGGTCCAGCCTAGTGCCTTGCTGCTCCCAGCCCGCCCTGGCTCCCAGGTGAAGCTGGCAAGGCAGGGTCCCGACTTGGCTAGTTCAAGACATCAAACCCCAACAACGGGAAAATCCTGGTTGGGAATTTCCAACTGGAGAACATAGATTTCCTTGGTTTCCATCCTAACGGAAGGCCTGAGAACCTGGAACAGTTAATCGAGGTGCGGGGCTTATGGAGGAGGAACTAAGGGCCTGCCCCCCGGGCCACTCTGGAGCCACAGACACCTCCCAGGTGCTCACCAGCCCTTGGGAAACGACTCCTCGGTTCCTCAACAATGACAGACACCGCTCTGTGAGGATCACGTGCACGGGAAATACTGACAAGTTGTGATTTGTCTGTCTTTCTGTATTTTCTGTGAACTTTTCTTTCTTTCAAGAAGACGTCTGGAGGAATTCTGCGTAAGAAGAGTGTGCGTGTCCCCCGCTCTGGGTGAGGGGAGACCTGCCCTTCGGCCCCTCGGTCTCAGCTGGCCAAGCCCCAGGGTGGACCTCCAAGTCCAGCCCCAGCTGGGAGATGCAGGGACAAACCCAGGAGGGAGCCCACCTGGGCCTAGGCATCACGGAGACCCCGGATTCCACCTTTATTCTGGAACCTGCAGGACCCCTCGCAGGCGCTCGCGAGGTGGTCACTGGAAAGAGGCCTCCAGCCGGCCAGACCCTCGGGCTCTCTCCAGTGTCTGACCTCCACGGGGGCCTCAGAACACAAACTATGACAAGACACTCACCTTGACAGTGTCAAATGGGTGTCCCACCAGCACGCCTGCCACACCTGGAAGAAGAGAGGACTTGTGACCCAGATGCCCCGGACACCTGCAGTGTGGGGCGGGGGCCGGCAGGAGCACTGCGCAGGGGCTGCGGGACTGGACAGGAGACACGCTCACCTGCCCAGTGCCGGGCGCACCCGTGAGCTGCTGATGCTGATGGCTGGGGGAGTGGGCGTGGGGGGACCTTGAGGGGGACATCACCAGGGTCAAGCCAGGATCTGTCCAACTCAAAGCTGCTCTCTCTCCCTTGACCCACAATGGAGCCGGACGTGCTCTTTCTAAGAGGATCCCACTGCTCCCAACACCTCCCGGCATGGGCTCGGGGCTGCAGGGACTTTGGACTTGGGGCTAGACCCTCACCCAGATTTTCATTTTCCCTCTGGCATGTACCAGAGGGCCGAGCTCACAAAGGCCTCGGTGTCTGAGCCCCTCTCCCCTCACCTGCACAGGTGTGAGCACTGACCTGCCCCAGGGCCACCCCCGGGACGCACTGACCCAGGACCTGACACGTCGCAGGAGCTGGCTGACAGCTCCCTTCCCTGCGTGGGAGCCGCCTCATGCTCGGGGAGGCAGCTGTGACTCTGCGGTCATGCTTGGTCATCATCAGCCCTGTCAAAATCTGTTCCCCCCGAAGGACAAAGCTCACTCCTCCATGATGGCTCACAAACACGTCTCAGGGTCCTGCGTGCTGTGTGGGTTGTCGACATCCCTGTGAATCAGGCAGCCTCATCACCCCACTTCACGGAAGGAGAAACTGAGGCTCAGTGAGGTCAAGTAACTGCCACACCAACCACCATACTTTCCTCTCTACAATTTCATGTGTGGACATCTTCAAGTTCTCCTTTTATTGCTAGGAGTGTTTATGTATAATTACAACAGCTAACATTTGTTGAGTAACAAACAGTAACGTTTCCACCTGCTTATTGTTCTTAGTTTTGTACATGTCCTAATTCTCCCTCTTATAAACCTGTCAAGAAAGGACTGTTGGCCCATTTTACAGATGATGAAACCGAGGCACAGAGCAGTATTATGTCTACACTACACAGCTAGTAAGTGGTGGAGCTGGGATTCAAACCCAGACCTTCTGGCCCTGGTGCCCTCTTCCTTAGCTACTCATCTCTCCTGCTCCCTGGTAGAGCTGGTGACCATGGCAGTGGGTGCCCAGCGGTTGGTGGGAGTTAACTATGCTTCTTCACAAATGGTATTTTTTATCTTTATGTAATGTCCTCTTCATCTTGCTTCATGCTTTGGACCTGAAAATCCACATTGTTTGATATTAACTTTGTCAATCCGGTTTTCTTTTTGGCTACATATGCCTGGTATAGTTTTGTCCGACTCTTAATTTTCAACCTTTTCTTACTACTTTGTTTTAGATGTTCCTGTAAACAGCTGGGTTTTGTTTTCTGCCCCACTCTGAAGCAGTCTCCAATTTTGCCAAAACAACAGAGAGATCTGACACGATTCCATCTTATTTTATGTGGATGACTTATTTTACTCCTTTTTCTTCCTACATTTTTGCTGGTTCAGGCAAATTACTATTTCTCCCCTGAATGTCGGGGCTCTACTCCGATCAACTGCCATTCCACTGGAGCCTTTCTTGATTATCTCCCTCAGATGTAACACATGGGGGAAGTGCCCTCTGAATTCCAGTTCATCTGCAAAATCCATTTCTTCAATGCCATCAGGAAGAGTTCTGTGCTCTGGCAAGGTTTCCGGCCCATGTCATTAGGGTGGCAGTGTCCTAGAATCTCCTGGCTTCCAGTGCCACTTGCAGATGAGAAATCTGCTGCCAGTTGGTTTCTTCTCCTTTGTCAATAATTTATTTGTTCTGCCGGGAAGCCTCTGAAATTTTATCTGTAGCTTTCAGGAATGTCACCAGGTGATGCCAAGGGTGTGTCTTTTTTCTTTAAAATAACCCTGCCTGGAACTCCACCAGCCCTTTCATTCCGCTGATTTGCCTTTTTCTGATCAGAGGAAATTTCCACTATTATGTATGCTTCATATTCATCATCTCCAGACCTTTTTCTCCTTCTGGAACCCCTAACACTCACAGGGGGATGAAGAGATATCCCCCAGCCTGTCTTTTCCCTCGAGACTCCTCTGTCTGTGTCTGGTCTTCTAAGGCATGTTGGTTTCTGTCTTTTGAGATCTACCTTCTTTTTCATTTCACGTTTTGAATTTTCTCAATTTGAAAATCCTAGTTCTAGAACCTCTTTTCTTGGGCTGTAACTGGATCCTTGGGTTTTCGAAACCTAAGATTTGCCTGGGGTGTGCTGCTTAGCCTTCCTTCTCTCTCCAGCTGTGGGACCCTCCGGCCCTCTGTTCCCCTGCAGCCAGGCCCTGCTGTGGGGTCCCCTTCCTGTGGGTGGATGGTTCTGCCTCTGGCCCCAGGCTTGCCCAGGTGCCAGCAACAGCCTTCATCAGCCTCTGGATGGGAGGGACAGACCCTCACCCACCAGCCTCTGTTGGGAGGCCCCACACAAGGACTCCAGGCATTTGCAGTCCCACTTTCTCTCTTGATTGGTTCAGTGCCCTCAGGCAAAGGGCTGGGTCCCTCTCACCCAGAACATTCCCATCCACAGAAACAGAGTAGGCTGTGGGTCCTGCCTCCATCAGGGCCTCCAGCCTCCAAAACCTTATTATCCTTTTAACCTCAGTCACCTTGAGAGCCAGGAAGCCCTGCCATCTCCCTGAGAGGACACTGAGAGCTACAGTCACAGCAGCAGACGTGGCCCCAGGCTCCCAACTCCAAAGCCAGTGCCCACTGCCCAACATAGGCTGGGCTCTCAGGGGCACCCCCATCCCATGACCCTCCAGGGCAGGAGGAGGGGCCACTGGCCTGGAGACACCTGGCAGAAGAGGTGGTGAGAGGGGACATCAGGATGACAGACCTGTCCTCCCCACACGGGGCCCCGGGCCACGGTTGAGCTTCTCTCTGCACCTCCTCCTATCCATGCCCGCAGCAGGCAGACCCTCAACCAGAGCCCAGGAGCTATGTGGGCTCAGGACCTGGGACTGACCCCTGATGGGGGAGGGCGGAGAGGCACTGGACCCTTCCAACACGGGAGGCCTCCGGGGATGCTGTCAATCAAGGGGCAGCCCCGCCTCCCCCAGGGTGAGGTTGAACACGTGACCCAGACTCAGCCAATCAGAGGTGAGGTACCGTCCTCCCTCCTGGGAATCTGAATTAAGAGCGACCTCAGGCCCCAGGGAAAAGCACAGCCATCATCCGTACTGAGCCTCTAGGCCTTGAGGAGCCCAAACCCGAAGGAACCAGGCCCCGGGCCTCTGGGGGCCAGGCGCCGAGGTGGGGGTGCCGCCCGTGCATGGTCCCTGGACGGCCCCTCTGCACTGGCTAGGCTGTGCCAGGGGCCCGGAATGTAGGCCTGGGACACAATCAGGTTGCTGTACCATGGGCCGGCGCGGAGGCCCTAGAGTCTGGGGGAAGGGCAGAGGACAGCCCCCATCTACCCCGCCCGGCCCTGCCCCGTCGGAGGAGTACACAACGTGATTTCTTTTTTTTTTTTTTTTTAAATATTTT